GCTGATTCCATTTCTGCCATTTTCAACATCGTACGTGTTACCGATAAGGATATGGGGGTATTGTTATTTTTCGGGGGTGGGGGTAAGCTACCCCCATAAAACTAAATGCCATATTTCAATTAAGGTGAAAATTGCTAAAATCAAAATCAATTTCCAATAAATAAGATCAAGATTGTATTTTGAATCTTTTCAAAGGCTCGTAGCCAGATGGCTGTCTAAGAAATAATGGGATAGATGAAGGAGACAAATATGAGTGGCAGCTAGAAAATAATCTAAAATGGAAAGGATGCAATTTTATAAAAGTGACATCGATTCCTCTGTTTCATGTTTCTAATTATAGATAAGGTCGTATTTGAGAATTATGTCGGGTAGTTGCTCTCCTTTTATCACGGATTTACAAGTTGTCATTCATATAGGCCCTTGTTGTGCAATTCAGTGCCCAAATGACAAATTTCAGAGTGTTTACCTAAATTGTAGAAAGGAACCCCGTGTTTCCCACATCAGAGTTCCCAACTGATTGATCTACTATTCCATGTTGGTTGGTAAGGGAACTGAAATAAAACTGACATCCACTCGCCTTCCTGCGCTCCTAAATGCTTGGCCCAGAAGCACTACAAAGAAAGCCCTCTTCCCTACTGTTACTGCATTGCCAAAATGGCCTTTAAGTTAGACTCTACCTGCTACTTTTATCTTCATAAAGCGCAAGGCAGATTATTTCATCGTTAATTGATTGCTGTATTTGTTTGCGTGACATTTGCCACAACAAAATATCTTATTTCATCGAATGTAGCGCGCGTCGATGTGAAGGACAAGGCCCCGCAAGGCAACTCTCACCCTCGGAAATGAACGCTTGTAGACCGTTGTGTAGACCGTGGCTGTTTCTTCGCAATTTTCTGACTTGTCAGGGGGAGGTTTGCCCCCAAATTCACCCAAAAGGTGTATAATAATACCCCTCAAAGATAAAATTAACCTTTGTTTGAATTCCATGAAGAAAACGGCAAAATATGACGAAAATCCCACGGTCTACACTCAAAAGGAGAATAAGATCTAGAGTACTTCAAATTCAATTCTCAGAAAGTGTAGACCGTTGACACTTTCCTGAATTTCTTCAGTTTTACAACTTGTATCGATCTGAAAACCTACAATATTTTTTATACCAGCCATGCACACCTACTGACGAGGTTTCGTCTACTTTCTTTGAAAAATACGATTTTTATGAACATTTTAAATGTGTAGACCGTGGCTGTAGACCGTTGGTAACCATTGGCAATAGGCATTTTCATACTACATCACGTGCCCATTAGGAAAGGAGCGTTCTTTCAATTCCTAGCATACTTTAACAATGGAAAACGAACAATTATAATTGGCACAAACCATTTTCCAATTATTGGGACAAGGGAAGATAGAAAATAATAGGGAATGGGGTGTCTATGAGCGCTACCATGTTGCCACATGTGAATGCGAAGGAGCATAGCCTAAGCAAATTTATTAAATTCGTAGATGGTTTTGGGAGGGTTATGGTGGATAAAATTGAGCCATTTGAACAGTTTCTCGCCAGCATGTTGTTCGCAATTATTTAGATCATGTATGGTTTGCAGACATTCTCATGAATTTTTTTGTTTTTTCATCAATAATTAAACCATAAATAAGGGGACTTTTCAGAAAAAAACACTTTTTCAAAGGTACTAAACTGTACTGTTTTTCCTTTGAAAATTGATAAATTTCTTAAACCGATGATCGAATTCTGCACAAAATACTTGTTTTCAATAATGATTTAAATGATAATGACGGAAAAAATCAGTAGAATGTTTTTTGTAACAAATAACAATACTCGGATATCTACTATATCAATCGTTCAGAGTCCCAACCCCCTCCCCCCCTTTTAACTGTGTAAAGAGTGAAAATTTCGAATTTTAATTAGTAGCAGTGAGATCAGCACCATCGAAAACCCTAGGGTAGCACAATGTTTTGATATCGCAGATTGCTGTTTTCGAGAAAATTTTCAGACAATGCCTGCCAAAAGTCTTGGAACACTGACATCAATTTCCAAGGTCAAAACCAATCATCCCCCTCTCCCCCATGGAACAATGTCGGTTTACTATCAAACGGGTTAAGATTTTAGGAAGCACTTTCTTTTGCGCTTCTTTTATGATATTTCTCTAAATCATCAACACTGTTTGAGAGGGAAGGGGGCGGAAGTAGCAAATTTTTTTCATGAAAGGAATGAAAGATATCAAATGCAGCGTAAATTGGTGGGTGTTCCAAGTACTTTTGGCAGGCATTGTCTGAATTTCATTTTGAAGCTTATTAGATATACCACCAAAACCAATATCCTCCTATAGGTTTTTGATGGTGCTGATTCCATTTCTGCCATTTTCAACATCGTACGTGTTACCGATAAGGAGATATGGGGGTATTGTCTTTTTTCGGGGGTGGGGGTAAGCTACCCCCATAAAACTAAATGCCATATTTCAATTAAGGTTAAAATTGCTAAAATCAAAATCGATTTCCAATAAATAGGATCAAGATTGTATTTTGAATCTTTTCAAAGGCTCGTAGCTAGATGGCTGTCTAAGAAATAATGGGATAGATGAAGGAGACAAATATGAGTGGCAGCTAGAAAATAATCTAAAAATGGAAAGGATGCAATTTTATAAAAGTGACATCGATTCCTCTGTTTCATGTTTCTAATTATAGATATGGTCGTATTTGAGAATTATGTCGGGTAGTTGCTCTCCTTTTATCACGGGTTTACAAGTTGTCATTCATATAGACGGCTTGCCGGTTGACGTCATAAGGAAATGTAAACAAGCTGCGTGCGCATCCGTGTAGTCAGAAAAACATTGATTGAATTGAACGCGCTGTGAAAACAGGTAATGCACAGCTGATCATGTTTCGGGCACACTTATTCTGAGTTTGCAAACGTGTTAATTACAAGTGAATACCGTTTAAGTTAAACATGGTGACAGGTATTCAAAAGAACACGCAGTAAAACACGCTGTGGAACCAAAATCCTCACAGCTGATGTTGTTTTGAACCCGCCAATGTTAGGCCTATATAAAGAACTGTGTTTTCCCGTTAGCTTCAGTCTGGTGCCAAATTGATCGAAACATGGATTCTGTTTATTTAATGAGCCTCAACCAGAGGACAGAAATCACTATAAATGAAAGTTACGGCTTGAAACTGGCGAACAGCTCCCGGATCCTTTCGCAATGACTAGCGGCTGGAGCAACGACATCACATTATTACCAAGTTTGTCTTGGAGAGACGTGACTGAGTACCTTATCGACACTCCAAGCAAATTTACAAAAGAGGCACTAAAAGCGTACAAGTCTCTAGAAGCATACAACTACTTCATATGCAATCATGTGCATGACTGCTATTACCATGAAGTTTCAAAAGACAGCGAGTTATGTTTTATCAAATCGGAGGTAAGTTGAATCTGTATGATATTTTTTTGTATGAACAGGGTCGGGAATAGCCAGCCCCTTGCTACTTTTATAATATGAAGACAACATTGAAAATTATGCCGTTTAACCTCAATCTAATTGTCCTAGATGCATGTTTCTATAGGAAAAGTATATAAAATTGATTCTCAAACAGAACAAGATATTTAACGTGACAAGTTAGATTTCATTGACAGCAACAAAAAAGGCTGAGCTAAAGCTTTCCATTATCACTTGTATTTTAATAATTGAAAGAAAATACTTTTTAAAATATTTGAAAGCTTCAAGCATAATTCTCAATTGACTAAAACTTTGCTTTCTCATTTAGGTACTGCCAAGCCAACGCCAAGGAGAGAAAACCACTTTGTATAAAGTATGGGTGTGTTTGAACAAGAAATTTGGGTGGTTCCTTACTGGAAACTGCACCTGTATGGCTGGCTTAGGGTCTGCATGTAGCCATTTGGCTGCGCTCTTGTTCAAACTCGAGGCTGCAGTACACTACAACCTCAATGAGAAAACTGCATCTACAAGTCAGTTACGCTCTTGGAATGCAGCCAGAAAACATGTAACACCTGCCCCTGCATCTGTCATTGATTTTTCAAGGCCAAAGAAAAGAACATTGCCAAAATATCATGAAAAAATAAGGAGCAGTACAAATTTCAGTTGTGAAGATCCAACGATTGGAGAAGGGGCCATCCCTATTGAAAAATTTTCAGAACTATACAACATTTTTCCCAAGGCTGCTGTTTTTACAAGTTTGCCCATACATGAGTTTACAAATGTTGAAGAAAACAAAAGGGAGAACACAGCTGCTCAAGAAATGGATGGAAGTGACACTGATTCTGATATTGAGAGTGACCCAAGTATTATCCCTGAGCATTTGACTTCTCTTTTTGATCCTACTGCTGTCAACATGGATGATTTTGCTTTGGATGAGCATGCCAGGAAACAATTTAATTTATATCGGGAAAATAACTTTAAAAGGGCTTTTGATAACCTTAGAAAATTGACAGAGAAGCAATCGTTAAATCCAGCTTGGATGATGCACAGAGCAGAAAGGATCACAGCATCAATCTGCTCCAAAGTTTCTCGTATGAAAGACAGTAAATCTTTGATTTCGAATATAATGCAATACAATGATGGTTTTACATCAAAATTCACAGATTTTGGAAAGACCATAGAACCCTTGGCAAGAAGCAGCTTTATCAAAACTGAGGAGGACAAACACGCCAATTTTAGTGTTATTTTATCAGGTCTAATTGTTAATGCTGAAGAACCATATCTTGGAGCTTCTCCAGATGGTATTGTTACATGCAGCTGCCATGGAAAAGGAGTGCTCGAAATAAAATGTCCCTTTAATTACAAAGATGGTTTTGATGGTTGGCAGCACGATAAGAACTTTCCACTTGCAAGCCTTGGTCCTGGCTTTATCATGAAAAAGAACCACCTTTACTACTACCAAATTCAGCTACAAATGGAACTATCTGGAGCAGAGTTTGGGTATTTTTACATTTTTGTTGGCAATAAAAAGGAAGGGATGATTTGCCCTGTAGGTAAAAAAACAATGACTTCATAACTAAATTAAAGGAGACTCTTACAAGCAAATTGTTTACATCTATCCTTCCTGAAATTGTGTCTAGGAAGACAGAGCTTGGAACACCAACAAATCGTTCCTTATATTGTACATGTAGGAGACCAAAGTTTGGAAAAATGATCTTATGTGAAAACAAAGATTGTAAAATTAGATGGTACCACTATCCTTGTGTAGAAATGAAAAGGCGTCCAAATGAAAGTTGGTACTGTAGAGATTGTAAATTTTAGCCCTTATATGACCAAAAAGTCGTAAACCTTTTATCCATGTGATATTTTTAATTTGTGTCTTGTATTTTGGTGTCATATATACATACAGCACCCCTCCCCCCTCATAAACCTGTTTCAGCCTAACATGCATTTTGGGGGAGAAATGGATCAAAATTCTGATGTTCATTAAACAGTACATGTAAATAAAATCAAAACATGTTCTATTTGTTAACAACACTTTGGTTTAAATTTACAATACCGGACAATGGTAAAAACATACCCTGTAGGTAAAAACAATGACTTTATACTTAGACCCTGTTTACACGAGAGAAAATGGAACGGTTCCAAATGGGACCGTTCCAAAACTAGTACGGATAGGCCTTGCGTTTACACGGGAACTGTTGGAACCGTTCCAGTTTGGATCTGCTATCCGTGCTCTTTTGGCTCCGCTACAGAAACGGTTCCATTTGGAACCGTTCCGTTTGGCTCCCGTGTAAACGGGCAGAACCGCATGGAACCGAGCCAAAAGAGAACGGATAGGAATCGAGGCTACTATGCTATGAGATAGAGGCTAGTTGGAAATGATTTCTTTGTTTGCTTTATTGCTGCAATTTTCTCAATTTTATTGTCAGTTTTGGTAGCTAAAGTTGAAATTATCAGTACTTTGCGTCTCCTTCATAACTTACGACAGCGAAGAATTTTGAATATGATAACAAGCATCGACCAGCGTCAGAGTATTTTCAGGAATTTAATGGCGATGAAGAATGCTCGCAGAAATCCAAAAAGAAGGTTCTGGATCAGGCCAGGGCGAACGGATGGTTGGTGGCAAAACTTTGTAGACAATGTTGTTGTACCAGAAGAATGGAGAGAGAACTTTCACATGAGTAAGAACAGTTTTCTTCTACTGTGTAACAAGCTAAGGCCTTTTTTGGAAAAACAAACTACAAATATGCGCCAGTCTATATCTGTAGAAAAACAACTAGCAGTCACATTATATTACTTGGCCGACGAGGGCAGATATAGAAAAGTTGCTAATGCTTTTGGCATTTCAAGATCAGCTGTTTCAAAAGTGGTTAGAAAAGTATGCCATGTTATAACAAATGAACTAGGACCAACATACATCAAGACACCTCAAACTGAAGATGAAGTACAGTTTCTTACTGAAAATTTCTATATGCATCATGGTTTTCCTCAATGTTTGGGTGCAGTAGATGGAACCCATGTATTTATTCGTCAGCCTTCAAAAAACCCAACTGACTTTTTAAACAGAAAAAACAGATATTCCTTGAATGTCCAGGCAACCTGTGACTATCGGTATTGCTTTATAGATGTTGTAGTAAAATGGCCTGGTTGTGTGCATGATGCACGAATCTTTGCTAATTCTGCAATAAACAAAATGTTACAAAATGGTGATGTTCCACCATGTCAGAAAGAAATCGTTGAAGGTCATGACAGTGTCCCTGTCTGTCTCCTTGGTGACCCAGCATATCCACTTCAGCCATATCTCATCAAAGAATATGCCAATGGAGGTAAAACAATTGATGAGCAATTTTTTTGTCATCGTCTCTCGTCTGCAAGAATGGTAATCGAATGTGCTTTTGGCAGACTCAAAGCAAGATTTGGAGCACTACGTCGAGAAATGGACATATGTCAGACCAGTCTGTCAGATGTGATATACAGCTGCTTTGTACTACACAATTTTTGTGAACTTCATAAAGAAAGAGTGCCTGAGGAACACATAAAAGCTGCTATGAATTATGATAGAGATTTTCAGCCAAACTCTAGTGGAAAAAGAAACAATTCAGGAGAATCAGAAGGCAAAAAAGTCAGAGACATCTTCAAATTATACTTTAACAACAACTGACATTTTAAAAACTTTCCAATTATTAACGTTTAAACATTTCATCCCAAAAACAGTTTATCTTAGTTTTAATGATACAGTTTGTTATGTTGATTTCCATTATTTCTAACCAAGTTAATTTTGTTTAGAGTTAAAAATCAGTTGAATCAATATAATATGATACTTCTTAATTAAGAAAGCTTGTTTGAGTTTCTACAATAGTGTGCTAGTATGGAAAAATTGTAAGTAAAATAGTTTTTCGAGTTACAATTCAGTATAATGTGGCTCTGAACTGTCTTCATTTCTGTTAGTGCTTCGATTGTACATTATGTTTTGCCACTGGTTCCCATTTCCTTGCCCTTGGTAGTAATTGGGTGCTGGATAAAACTCTTGCATTGGCTGAAACATCATTTGCATCATTTTAAAGCCTTCTGACATTGTCTTATTCAAATCTTCTGAAAGTTGCCTAATTGTTGAAGAGAACTGTTTCTCAGAGGACTCAAATTGAGCAACAAGCTTCTTTTTCAATTCTATGTCTTCCTTTCTCATCTCAGCCTCTTCTGTTGCAAAATTTAAAATCTTCTCTTGGAAAGTAGTCTTCTTGATTGACTTGGAATTTCGGCGGTCTTTTAACAAATTTGCAAGTTCTTCTCTCCTAAGCTTCATTTTCTTTTTTAATGGTTCACAGGATATTGGTGAATCTTCGTCAATGTAATCAATATTCTCTTCATTGTTGCCAGCAATACTTGATCCCTGAGAATCCACTTCTATAGGAGAATTCTCCTCTGCCAATATTTCTTCATCATTTGCGGGATTATTTACGCCTGTTGTTTCAAAACCTCCATCAATGCTTGTTGCTGCTGGGCATCCAGCCCATATTTCAGAACACTCCTGGTAAAGAGAAGACACTATTCTGCCACCACCACTTTTTCGCCCACTGTCGAGTGCTTTTCTGAAACTATTTTTCATTTTTTTCAGTTTCGAAGAAACTTTAGAAGCGGAAAATTCTTCTTTGGTTTCTCCTCTTGGAAATTCATCAGTAACTTCATCTGGATAGGCCTCTTGTAAACGGCATGCCAAGTCTTCGTACTTGGAGCGAATGGTTTCCCAGTCCTGTCCAGCTGCATATTTGGCTGTTTTGTAGTCCAAGACAATTTTCAACAATAGTGCAGTTTCTTCTTCTGTCCAAACGAAAAGTTTCTTGGTAATGTTTGTTGCTGCCATGTTGATAAAAATTGTCGTAATCGAGTCGAATGATGCGATTTACAAGTTTTGGCGCCAATCAAACAGAAGGAATTACTGCGCATGCTCTCCCTCCTCTGAAGCAATTTCTGGAACGGTTCCAGGATGCCCGTGTAAACGCAAGCAGAAAAAATTTGGAACCGTTCCAAACGGCACGGTTCCAACTGGAACCGTTCCATTTTCTCTCGTGTAAACAGGGTCTTAAACTAAAGGAGACTCTTTCAAGCAAATTCTTTTCATCTATCCTTCCTGAAATTGTGTCCAGGAAGACTGAGCTTGGAACACCAACAAATCGTTCATACCATACAACAATATTATATTGTAGGAGACCAAAGTTTGGGAAAACGATCTTATGAGAAAACGAAGATTGTAAAATTTGATGGTAGCACTATCCTTGTGTGGAAGTGAAAGGCGTCCAAAGGAAAGTTAGAACTGTAGAGATTTTAGCTCTTTTATAATAAAAAAAGTCATAAACGTTTTATTCATGTAATATGTTTAATTTTTGTCTTGTATTTTGGTGTCATATATCCAGACAACACCCTCTCCACATAAACCTGTTTCGGCATAACATGCATTTTGGGAGAAATGGATCAAAACTCTAATTTCATTAGACAGTACATGTAAATAAAATCAAAACATGTTCACAATACTTTTGTTTCAATTTAGAATACCGAACACAACAACCATTATTTTATCAATTAAATCTACACGACTTATAGGTAAAGAGTGTTGTAAAATTTTGAATTTTCTCAATTGCCTAATGACCCTCTCCACATGAATTCTGACGTTTGATAGTTGCCTGGATTCATCTACATCCTTTGCTGACAACTGTGTCTTCCCACGTGTAAATTTTGGGATCTCTAGATATGCTCCATTTTTTGCCAATTCATCTTCAATTAGAAACCCTCTATCTGCTAGAACACAATCGCCAGGGTGTAGCTTCTTTAGGAAACCTGAATCAATGGTAATCTGCTTGTCAGAAACTCTGCCCCCCCCCCAGCCTTCAGATAAAAATGTGACTGCACCTGCAGGACTGATTCCAATGAGATATTTAATTGTATTATTATGCTTATAATTTGACCAAGTCTGAGCCCTTGCTGTCAGATTCTTTGGTCTTTCAATAAATATCTCACTGCAATCAATAATGCAGATACAGTCTCTATATTTACCCTGAAGGACTGGGGAAGATTTTCCTTGATTTCTATTTTGCTAGGCCACACAATTAAGTTCTTGAGGGATGAAGAGAGTCCTGGAAGCCAGGTTCGAAAATTTGTTGAGATCATGGTGTTTGTGCAACCAATTCTATAAGCAATGTCTTCATTCATGAGGCCAAGCTTAAGCTTCATCAGCACAATTAGAACATGGTCCTCTTCCGACAGGACAGAACTGCACTTTTTCAAATTGCTTCTTACCAAAGAAACAACCCATAAGAAAACAGCTACAGTTGGTAGCCCAGTAAAAAATTTTAGATCTTTATTTGATTTCTTTAGTTTTTCAAAACCGAATCTCCCTTTTTTAAGTTTCTCATTTTCTTCTCTCAATTTGTATACCTCTGCATTCCTTTCCCTTAGTTCTTCCTCCAGCTGAGACGCCTTGGTTGTTAGTCTTGCTATGGTAGATGTAGCCAAAACACTTTCATCATCTTCCTGGTTTTCCTCGTTACATGGAGGCACGACACCATCATTTGATGAATCGGAATGCGGACTTGCTTCTTCCGATGACACCCTTCCAGTTACTTTCCAACTGACATGAAATCTCCCCCTTTTCTTTTTAAGTGTTTCATACCTTGCTTGTTTTGCAATTTTGTTGTCAACTTTTGCAATATCCCTCGCAGATGTGTGCTGGAATATTGTAGGAATCCAGTTGGGATCATCAGGGTTCTCCGATCTTTTACCTGGTGAATTTAGACAATACTTCGTTTCATCTCAAAATTAAATTTTTTTGAACCTAGCACTGTCATCACTCGGGGTTGTCTCTAAGCATCAAACAGGGTAATAAACAGTGAAATTCTGTTCAAGGTTCTGAAGAAGCAAATTAGATTTAAAACTCAAAAACATGCAAAAAGTCACAACCATACAGTTTAACAAACAGCACAATCAACTTATACAGTTCCATGTTATATGAAGTTCAATGTTCTAATTTTCATAACGAAGAACAACCAACCTTCTTGCGGTTTGCAAAAGGTTTTTCTTTCGTAATATTACAGGGCTTTATTTGCTAATGTGGATATGATTAACCATATTCGCAATGCAGTTTTTCCAGAAGCACTAAATGCTCAAGAAAGCATTTACAGAGAGCATTTCGGAATCACCAATTTTGGCTGGCGTCTTAGGCCCATATGTCAACCACAACATTGATATAGTCCGAGCTATCAATTACATGTATTTACGCTGGTCACGGGGAAAACACATATAATGACTACTAAATCAGAAAACTTGAAAACGAACCTGAAATGAAATTCTCCCCGCAAATGAAAGCATTTGATATTTTCTCCTCGCTCCACGATTTCCAATCCGCCCGCCTTATCGTTGTCATCCAATCTTGCCTTTGACGTTTCTCAATTGGTGTCGATCCTTTAGGCATCTTATAAAAAGGAACATCTTTCTTTTCTCCAATTTTTCTGTTCGTACAACCGACCGCACAACAAGTTCGATGCATTTTGCTAAATGCGAGAGATAATTTTCGATGCAACAAGAAGTAAATCAAACCTGATTGTAAACATAAACAAGGTTCTTGACTACAAGGATGCGCGCGCATCAAAAGAGGCCACGGAAATAGTAAACAATGGGAAACCGTCTAGTCTCTCTTGGTATTGTGTGCATAAACACCCGGAGGAGACCCAATTCAAGCTGAAGTGCGAACCCTGGCACTCATTGGATTTTTGATCAACAAAATCTTTTGTTTTTTCATATCTTTGGAAAATGCAACACCCTTGTTACTTTGCATCTTCCATTTCTCAATTAACTTGATGAACTGAGCTTCAATCTCACTAGACTTGGCAGAATCAATGATGTTTTTTTCTTTGATTCTTTATCTATGTAGCCAAAATGAAGCTGGTGATATCGTTTTTGATGGTACCTTTAATGTCCAGTTCAGCCAGTTTAGACTCAATGTTATTGCGCATGTCACAAACCAAGTGGTAAACAGCTCCAAAACCTGATTGCAAAGCTTTGTGTACATTCACTTCTCATCAGTACGAAAACAAAGTAGATGGAAAAAATCCTTAGGGAACCAGAAAATGCTAGATGGCAATTGAAAATATGAATCAAAGCCTTTTTTGCAATGTAGCAGCACTGGTCGAAACATGACAGGGCGCACACATCTGTTGATATGCAACATGAGTTGTCTGTATGTAGACACAGTCAAATAAAAATTCCCAATGTCATAAGTGGATCTACACAAATATGTTACCAGAAAAATTAAAAATGCTTTTTTTCCATTAATAACAAAACTCTAATGTATATAACCAAGTCTAAACAAGTCCTAACTCAAATGTCTAAACAAAAATTTCCAGTTTTAATTTCTAGTCTTCCCAATGCTTATCAAGCCTGTTAAAATTTTGCACCTGGACTACCTTTCCTGTCAAACTATTCCAGGTAGTGATGCATCTTTCTGTTAGAAAGTTGCTTTGAAACTTTAATTGTACTAGTTTCAATTATTCTCAGAAATTCTCTTTGACCTATGCTGAATAACTTAGCGGTTTCAGCCCTTTCATTTAATTATTTGAATACTTGAATCATATCTCCTCTTTAGCGACAAAATGCTTTAGTTGGTAAATTGACAGCCTTAAAGAATGCATGTCATCCATCAGCCTTTGCGGCCCTAACAAGCGCGTCTCCTGTTTGCATTTCTCAATCATTTCGCACCAAAGCTGTGCAGCCTCAATTTACTACTAAGATTAGCTCCGTTTGTGTGAAGAATGAAGTGAAGAATTAATATTTATGGATCACCCATCGCTGGGTCGTCAGTTTCAGAGGTGATCAGCACCTCTCAAACATTTTCAAATAGTGGGCTATCAGCAGCTGTGCCCGATCTTGCTGAACTTAGGCATCTATCTATGGTATGTAAACTTTCGTATCTTTTACTTTTATGTTTTATATATCAACACTTTCCCTTTGCATTTCAATAATTATATTCACAGTACAATACAACTCAAAAGGGTTGGGTAACACTTGGCCAGTCGCGATTTTCTTCAATTTTTTCATCATGTTATATTGAAATTCACACAGGTTTTATCAGATCTAAAAACTGATGTGATATGGCAAAATAGCCTACCTTGGTTATATACATAATACCAATATTTTTCTCCAAGATAACCTGTGTTTGTGCCACCACAAGTTCCCGCAAAAGTGGCAAAAAGGAAGGATGCCCATGCAAGGATGCATCAAAGCTTTGTAATGAGAAATGCTTTTGCGGAGTGAAGAGGAAGGGAAATGTTGTAAAAAGCAGAGGATGGCCAATAAATGATGCAACGTAAATCGGTTAAATCTTTCCTTCTTTTCTTTCGATAAAATCATCCCCGCAGCTACATAACATGCATACTAACAACGGCATAATAATTAACGCGAGACATGGGCATAATCTTTCTCAAGAACTATCCCAGAGGTCTCTCAAAACTGATATATCTCAAAACAACTAAGAGCAAAACGAAGGCGACAAGATCTTTCACAAGCATCTTGCCCCTAAAACGGTGCATGCCTAAACTGTTTTCTCTTGCTGCTATTTTCCATAATTCTTACTGCCTAGGATGGGGTATGGGGCTCCTATATATACTGAACTAAAAACAATAGACATACGTAAATGAAACGGTAAAAGGAAGTAATCTACTAAGTGATGAGCGGGGTAGGGTAGCGTGATATCCTTAAATACTTCGTTGCTATGGCGATCTACTTAAAATGCTGATAATTGACGTAGGTATGAGGCTACTGATAATAATACAAAGATTATCCTGATACACGTGATAGGAAAATGCGGAACGAGCAAGGAAAGTTACAGATAAACAATGTGATTGGGTAAGGAAAATCAAACGAATG